TCCTGCATCCAATATATATATGGACATTCTGGCAAAGCTGGCTCACTTGCTCTGGATCCTGTATCATCCGGCTCATCATCATCTGACCAGTGGTTCTTGGGACTTGAGCCAGCAGCCTGCCATATTGCCTGCTGATCTTGGGATTCATTGGCCTCCACAGCCTGTGGCCAACAGCTTACCATCTTACCTGCCAGTCTTGGATTTGTCAGCTTCTGCAGCCCGCGAGCCAGCAGCCTACTGTATGACCTGCCAATCTTGGATTTGTCAGCCCCTGCAGCCACATGAGTCAGAAGAAGCCTCCAGCCTGACACCTGACCCATGGACTTGGAACTTGCCAGCCTCTACAACAGCGTGAGCCATTCCTTGAGATAAATCTCTCTCTATATATACATATACGCTTCAGTGGATTTGCCTCTCTAGGGAACTGAGCCTAAGACACTTAGCTTTCTTTCGTGTTTTTTTCTTTTTAAACCAACTACAGAAATCTTAGAAATTTAAGAAAACATTATTGCTAGTATCTATCAGTTGTCCTAAGAGAATAAAATTCTGGCCTTTGAAAAATATTCTGCCAAAAAATTCTTACCCCTCGAGTATCCATACAGAGAGGCTCAAGATGCAATGGAACACAAAGCTGGCCTCAGCTTCCCTTTTCTCTTAGGCACATTCAAATAGAGAAACAAGGTTGACCAGGGATGGTCAGAAATGCCAATTAGCACCCTTCACAAGAACTACAACTCAAATAGAGTCTGTCTTAGTCTTCAAGGCCTAAATACTTCCTCTTTCCTTCTCCTCCTCACCAAAAACCATACAAAATACATGTCCATCATTGTTTCCTCCTGGAGACTAGCAATCAAGAGTATCTGTCTTATTGTCACTAGGGTGTGGAAGGCGTTAATGAGCTTCCTTATCTCAAGATCTGATCCTAGGAGGGGCATTTGACAAACAGCGTGTTATTACTGTTTATGATCCTTTCATCTTAGGGCTCACCAATTCATTTCAATTTTGAACTCTCAGCATTTCCCCATTTCAGCAGCCTATACTTAGCAGGAATTTAAAATTCCATACTATTAGGTTTTCTTGGGCTCAGACCTGTCCAGAAGCATGTGTTCCAACTCTCCTGAGATAGATCATTGCAAAGTGAAATCTATAAAAAGGCTGGATAAAATCCCTTGATATAGCAATGAATTGTGAGTGTGATGACCAACTGAAAAGCCCAATTAAATTCCAAACATAGTTTGCTGTTGAGACACTGGTAGATCAGAATATTAGGCCACCCACATGGTTTTCTTTTAACAAACTTAATTTACTTTCATTAACATCAACACCCAAGCCAGTCATGATGTTGAGCTGTGTTTGGGGATTTCTGAAAGCAAAAGGAAACCAACTGCCCCAGGCAAGATATTTCCAAATGGAACAGCCTGGAATGTTGAGGACTACCCCAGAGACTATGAATTCAGACCTTACTCCAGTCTACAACAGGTTAAATCATAAACAACCTTATGAAGCTAGAGACCCGGGAACTCTTTAGTGATACTCATCTACAGACTACTCTCACTGGGTAAAATGTACTGCACCAGATAGAAGGGCAAAACACAGAGAGGACAGCCTAATCAAGTAGGGAAAACATACAGATAAACTTATGTAAGCTAAGGTCACATAAGGGTAGAAATAGTACTATACAAGGTCCATACTGTCTTGGAAAAAGTACAGCCGGAACATTCCTTAGAAGCGAGGATGGCGAGACTTCGTCTCATGTACTTTGGACATGTTATTAGGAAGGACATCATGCTTGGTAAAATAGAGGGTCAGTGAAAAAGAGGAAGACATTCAATGAGATGGACTAACACAGTGGCTGTAACAATGCGCTCAAACACAGCAACTATTGTGAGGATGGTGCAGGACTGGGCAACGTTTCGTCCTGTTGTACACAGGGTCTCTGTGAGTCGAAACCAACTCAGTGGCACCTAACAACAACACGACGTGGCCCAAAGAGACCACAGTAGGCTAGGGTGATGAGGAAAAGCTTTAGAGTGGTAGGATTTGATTGAACTTGAATGACAGGCAGGATTTAGTTATGAACAGATGTGAAAAGGCAATTTAGAAGTGCTGTGGCAGGAATTATAAAGTGAGTAAGAGTGGTATTCTCTGGCTGGTGCAGAAGCTATCTGGCAAGAAGTAATGGTAAGTAAGGGGCAAGAGTTAGGATAGGGACAAATTATGGACAGCCTTGGATGCCTAGCCAAGGGGTCAAGGCTTGACAAGGGGAACCAAAAAAGGTCTATTTTCAAGGGAGTAGCTAAACTAAGGGGTGATTCAGGAAAATTAATCTAACTCCAGTGTGCAGGTTCAACAAGAAGAAAGAGAAAATAAGGTTAGAAAATAACCTTTTTCTAATAAGAGACAACTGAAATCAAGAGACATGAGAACTAAAGGCAATGCCGGACTCATAACTGGAACTGGGATGAAAAAAAAAGATATAAAGGACATTGTTGGGACAATTGGGGAAATTTGAATATGAACTATATATTAGAGAACAGCACTTATCAACATTAAATTTCCCATTTATGCTAATTATGTTGCATACAATTAGAGAACTATGCACAACATATTAAATAAGAGAATGTCCTTGTTCTTAGGAGATGTCTGCTGAAGTATTAGGGATGAAAAATCATGATATCGGCAATTAACTCTCAAACAGTCTGGGAAAAAAAAAGTATTTATCTCTACACAGATACAAAATTAGGTATGCCAAATAATAACTGGTGAATCAAAGAACGAGATAGGGAGAGAAGCTAAAGGAAGTAGCAACAGGTGTTAGTAATTGACTGGATATTGGGGACAAGGAAGAAAGATATAGAAGAAGAAAGGAAATATAGAAGAAGAAAAAATAAAGCTATCTCAAAGAGACTAGTTGAAGAAGCAAGATTATAGTGTATGTTGGGGAGAGACACTGGAAGAGGCCTTGGCACAGAGAATGGTGGCAGCACCACTGGATAAAGGAAGTTAGGGGAAGAAATGGTTTCAGGAGACACATGCTGAATCTGGGTCTAGATAAGAAGTGGCATGAAGCAATTAAGATGCTACAATGACATTTACGAAGAAATGTCTTTAGGCAGGTGGAAATACAGGAATAGGACTCAAGCCATAGATCAGAGTTAGAATTAACAGCTTAGAAATTACTTACATAAATGATGGTTCAATTTGGAGAAATGGATGATATCTATGAGAGTAATGTGAGAGGAAAAGGAGAGAGGTGACAGACGACTGACAATATAACTTACTGTGGCTGGGAAGGGAATAGGAGAAAAACCAGGAGAGTACTATATTACAGAAACAAAGGTGGAAAAGAGGATTAAGAAGGCATTGATCTACAGAATGACCAACAATATCAAATACTGCAGAAACATTAAAGAAGGTAATGACTAGAAAATCTGGAGATTAGGAAATTATCAGTGAATTTTGTGTAGGAGTGAAAACCAGGCTATAGGACTCGAGGAAGGGTACAGATGAAGTAGAAATGAAACACTGGGTATAAATCACTCACTTATTCAAGAAGTTTACCTTGAATGGAAGGATGGTGGAACCCCCAAGACTATGACTCTTAGACACCCTTCAAACTTGGAACTAAAATCACTCCCAGAGATCACATTATAGCCATACAATGTTGTTTGTTAGGTGCTGTCAATTTCGTTCCGACTCATAGCAACTCCATGTACAACAGAACGAAACACAATAGACAGGCCTATAAAATGAAAAATAACACAGGTGAGGAATGTACGCCTCAAAACAATCAACTATATGAGACCTAACAGGCAGCATTTGCCCAAGAGCAAAGTTCAGAAGGAAGGTAGGGGCAGGAAAGCTATACAAATGAACACAAGGAACCCAGGGAGGAAGTGGGAGAGTGCTGACACATTCAGGGGTTTGCAACCAATGTCACAAAACAAGCTGTATATAAATTCTTGATTGGGAAACTAATTTGCTCTGTAAACTTTCACCTAAACCACAATAAAATTAAAAAAAAAAAGAAAAAAGAATGCACTCACTGCATTAGCCCAGAAAGCGCCACCTGAGAACTCTCATACAGTTAACGGAGACTGAAGATCCTACTGGAAAAGGACAACAAAGTCCTCCAGATGACAATGCTAGCAATGATGCATCTAAAAACACCTACCTCATCATGATGAAACACTAACGCAGGATTGTGGCTTAGCAATAAGTAGAAGTCTCCTAAAAACCATATCTCCCTTCAAGGATACATGGATCACAGTAACAATAATCAGCTGAACAAAACACCAGGACCAAGCAGACCTAAGATATACAAGTCCCCCTCAGTGAATAGCACAGTGAACAGTTGGATAAAATAAATTTGGCTGTCCAGAGCCTCTTGGCTGTCCAGAGCCTCTTAACTGGTTATTTTCCATGTTTAATTTAGCATGTGAGGACAAAGGCCATGTCACAGTTGTGCCAACAAAACAAATCTGAGAACACGTACTTTGGACCATTTTAATTCTGCCTCTGATAGTCTCTTTTCCTACAGACTATCACCTGACCTCAAATTATTTTACTGATGTCTTAGTCAGTATATTACTCTTTAGGAAAAAAACTAATTGTAATAGCTAATAAAAAGCATTTGTGTCATGAATACTCCAAAGCTTCACTGCCACTGAACTATGCCTAGGAAACTCATTTTATAATCAGCATGAAACTATTTCTCTCACCTTTGGCCTGGAAGCCAGTTATTCTAGTGGCATGACTGCCCTATACCAAGAAGTCTGCCTATAAATAGATGAACCATGATACAGGTCCAGTAATAATCTTGTACATGTTAAAACTGATAACAGATCTTACAAAAAAACCATTAAACTTAAGTTATTAAATAAAACAGGTTCTCTATTTTCAGAGTCAAAAACCAAAAGAAAGAAAATGAAGGTATAGAAGTTGCTAAGACGTCCTAGACTCTTAGTCTTCTGGTAACCCTGGTTTGGGAAAGAATGTACCTTATCCATATGGAAGATCAAATCCAATTCACAAACATTTTCGAAACACTTGTCCAGGGTCTCCACAAAAACCTAGGAAACAAAGAGAAACAGATAAAGAAGAGAAAGAGAAACATATTTACATCTTCATGAATGTCACATTTGAAAAAAGAAAGTGAGAAGGGCAATCATGATACCATCTACCTTACAATAAATCTCCAAAAAAGCACCTTTTGTCTCCAGCACTAGCTGATCACCCTATTTATCCCAATTTGGGAGGACAAAGTTTCTAGGAGAGGAAAGCCTTGATTTAGTATAGCAACATAACCAGCAGATACATAATGACTTTCTTTCTCCTTTATAAGATGCTGGTAACATAAAAATATTTAATATATGACTTTAATTCACTTCTAATTATAAATTCAACCGTGGCTTTTGGGAACTTTACAGAATTATTAAGAAAGTATATGGATGAAACGGAACAACCACAACAGAAATAATGAGAATGTTCATGAATTGTGAAGCACGTAACCAACGTCACTGAACAATTTGTGTAGAAACTGTTGAATGGGAACCTAAACTGCTGTGTAAACTTTCATTGAAAACACAATATTACTTAAAAACAAAAATTTATATGGACGAATAAATGGTTATAATTATCAGCGAATATACTGAAAAGGAACTGCACCCAAGCGAGATGATTGACCCTACCAGGTATGCAAACCTATATTAAAACAAGAAAACATAAGACAGTGTGACACTAATGCAGAAAGAGAAATATTACTCAGTGGAACAAAATGAAGAGCAACAACTATACTCAACTATGTATTTATTAAATGTTTATTCAATGAATGCTTACTGAGCGATTACTACATGGTCTGCACCATTCTACTTTGGGGATACTGTGGTGACCAAGTCATGCCCTTATCCTGCTTACATTCTGGGTGTGGGAAGAACAAGGATGTAAAAATGGCATGTAGGGGTTGTGTCTGACCTCCTCTAACTTCACGAGGGGAAGGAGAATCAAGAGCAATGGCCCAGGCTGATTTCTATGAGGCAGAGGTCAGACATGCCTCCACCCGCCAACCTTTTCACCAATTCAACTGACCCTCCCATGGTACTCTCTACTTCTCTGCTGAGTTCAATAATTCGTTACAATGGCCACACAGAACTCAGACAATACTCACAATTATGGAGTTTATTAGGAAGTAACAGGTTACAATTCAGGTTCAGGAACACTCAGGATACAATTCTTCGATCAGGACAGCCTCTTCTCAGTTGTGCCTGCAGGCATGCCTCCCTCTGGCCTTAGGCCTCTGCCCTGCTCAGGCCAAGTGTCACAAAGCTCTTTTAGCTCTGCTGTTAAGTGCCCCGAGGCACCCCACTCAGCCTTGGCCTGAAGGTGCTCAGCTCTAGCTCCATAGGTCAGCAAAACTAGCTCTACCAAGTGCCCAGAGGCACCCTACTCTGCCAGCAAGCCTCCTGCACAAAGGCACTCAGCTTTCTTGTTCCATGGGCCAGGAAGCCCACCGGACTGTCTCTTGCCTCATGGCTGTTTCTCTGCTGTCACTTCTCACCTCTGAAGTGTTACAGCTCACGCGCACTCTGTCTCTGTCTCTCAGGAGCTTCTTACTGCAGGGATCCTGGATCCAAAGGACATACTCTACTCCTGGCTCTTCTTTCTTGATGGTGGTGAGATCTTCTCCTCCCGTCTCTGGGATGGTTCATTTTAAGCCTAGCAGGATGGCAAAACTGACTAATCTCTTTGTTAGGGTTCCACAGACCTTGTTTGCATGGTCTCACCCTCACACAGGTGCCATGCACTTTATTTGCGTTATTAAAAAGCTATCCAATCCCCTTGGCAGGCCACAATTACTCTATTTGTATAGTCCCACCCAATGACTTGGGTGGGAGTTACAAGGCCATGGTGAGAAAGGTCATATTAAAAGTGTTCCATCGCACCGCAAAGGAAGCAGGTAACCAGATCTCTTCCACTGTTTAAGTGCTCTGAAGGAAGTAAACAGGATGATGTGATAGGGGTTACTTAAGACAGGCTGTCAGAAAAGTCTCTCAGAGGATTAACATTTGAGCTGAGACCTGAATGATGAAAAGAAGCCAGTCACTGGAAGAGCTGAAGAGTGAAGGAGCCCAGGGGATAGAACAAGTGCAACAGCCCTGAGACAAAAATATACCTGTGTTTGAGGTCGGAATGACTGTAACTGGAGTATAATGAAGGTGAGAGTACATATAATGAGGTCAGAGAGAGACAGAGGAATGGACAGATGACATCTGTCCTTGCAGGCTATGATAAGAAGTTTGGATTTTATTCTAAAACTTATTATACACTAAGGTTTCTTCACAAACGGAGGTAAAAATGGATGATTTACCTTTAATAGTTTTAAAAAATAAGTTGGTTTTTTCACTGCAAAACTATTCACAATAACCAAAAGGTGGAAACAACTGAAATGTCTATAAACACATGAATGGTGCCTTAGTCATCCAGTGCTGCTATAACAGAAATACCACAAGTGGCTGGCTTTAACAAAGAGAAATTTATTTCTTCATAGAGTAGGCTAAAAGTCCAAATTCAGGGCATCAGCTCCAGGGGAAGGCTTTCTCTCTCTGTCAGCCTTTTCATTAATCTTCCCCTGGACTAGGTCCCTGGGTCCAAAGGACGCACTCTGCTCTGGGCACTGCTTTCTGGGTGGTATGACGTTCCCCAGCTCTGCTTGCTTCCTTTTCCTTTTATCTCTTATAAGACAAAAGGTGATGCAGGCCACACCCCAAGGATCAGGGATGTGACCTTAGTAAGGGCGTTACAATCCCACCCTAATCCTATTTAACATAAAATTACAATCACAAAATGGAGGACAACCACATAATACTGGGAATCGTGGCCCAGCCAAATGGATGCATACACTTCTTGGGGGACATAATGCAATCCATGACAAATGGATAAATAAAATGTGGTACATACACAGTGGGATACTAAGCCATAAAGAGAAATGAAGTCCTGACACATGCTACAACATGGACGAACCACGAAGACATTATGCTGAGTGAAATAAAGCAATGACAAAATGACAAATATTATATAATCTCCCTTATACTAGATGACAAAAATAGGCAAATGTATACAAACTAAAGTTTATCAGTGGTTACCAGAGGTGAGAGGGTGGGGAAAAGGGGAGCACTGTTTGAGAAGCAATGAGTTTTTGTTTACGGTGATGGAAAAACTATCATCGATTAAGGGCAATAGTTGCACAACATGATTAACGTAACTGATATTACTAAGCTGTACATCTGAAAAAGGTTGAATTGGTAAATGCTGTGTTACATTTTTACAAAAAAAAAAAGAAAAAAAAAAACAGCTGCTGAGGCTGCTTACATACAACCAAACACCTCATGGGATTTGTCTTCCTGGTACATCCCAGACAACTGGCCTATTACTGTTTCTGTTAAACACTGATACTATAGTGTTTCTGTTCTGCATCCTAGTTCAGTGAGTAGTGCCTGGGTCTTAAAAGCTTGCAAGCAGCCGTCCAAGGCACAACAATTGGTCTCTATTTGCTTGGAGCAACAGAGGAAGAAGGAGAGGCAGGAATAGGAGGAGGAACTGGAATCTGTGACTACCTTCCTGAACAACTGTTTCCTTTGTCATGCGACAGAAGAGCTGGATGGTGCCTGGCTACCATTACAGAATGTTTTGATCAAAGATTTTACAGAAGAATCTTGATCAAAAGGCGGGGGGAATGTGGAGCAGAATTTCAAATTCTCCTGGACTCCAGACTTTCTAGAGCCATAGAGGCTGGAGGAACCCTGAAACTACTGCCCTAAGCCAATCTTTAAACCTTAAACCAAAATTATCCCTTGAAGACATCTTTAAACCAAACAATGGTTTCACTTAATAAGTAAAGAATGTTTACCTTGAACACTGTGCTCTTTTAAAGAATTATCTATATGGGGTGAAACTGACAACAACGGGAAAGGTTAGAAGAAAAGTTTAGGGGCAGTGAGTTTATCTTAATGATGATGGAAAAACTTGGAAACTGATATTCAGAATGGTCGCACAACTTGAAGAATGTGATCAATGTAACTAAATTGTGCATGAAGAAATTGTTGAATTGGTCTATGTTTTGCTGTATTTTTAAAAAAAAAAAAAAAAAAAAAAAGTTTATATTAAAAAAAGTTTTAAAATAAACTCCAGGATATACAGAGAATTACTATTTCATTGATTATAAGACACATCATTATTTTATGTGCTAACCAAGAAAAAAAAAGCTGCCAATTATAATTGTAAGATGTCATCTATTATATTACACATCCTGATTATAAAGTTGTTAAGGTATGAAAAAATGTGCATCTCAGAATAGATGAAATATGATATTACAAATCAGGATCTAGATGTTACTGGACAGGTGGTTAAATTATATTACAAAAGGTTTACATGACAAAGAACATTGTAAATCCACACAATGTAGATAGGCATAATTAATAAAAATTAAAATTTAGATATATTTGAGGTACTGGAGCCCTGGTGGCACAGTGGCTTAAGATCCTGGCTGCAGACCAAAGGGTTGGCAGTTTGAATCCACCAGCTACTGCTTGGAAACTCTATGGGGGCATTTCTACCCTATCCTATAGAGTCACTATGAGTTGGAGTTGACTTGATGACAACGATTTGGTTCTACCTCTAAAATGAGTGGAAATTTAAAATGACATACCTCAATGTTGGAGCCAGGAGGAAACAAACGCACTTAGTGCTGGTTGTTGTTGGTGTTAGGTGCCGTCGAGTCAGTTCCGACTCATAGCGACCCTATGTACAACAGAATGAAACACTGCCCGGTCCTGTAACATCCTCACAATAGTTGTTATGCTTGCGCCCACTGTTACAGCCACTGTGTCAGTCCATCTCATTGAGGGTCTTCCTCTCTTTTGCTGACCCTCTACTTTACCAATATAGTGCTGAGGCATTATAAACTAATATTGTCTTTCTGAGTATCTACCTAGTAGATGTATTATAAACATTCATTCCCTTTTACCCAGGAATTCTGTTATCAGCAGAAACAAATGGAAAATGGAACTAATCAAAG